GTGAAAATTTATATATTTGATTTATAAAATTTGATAGTAATATAAGCAATATATATTGTTCATAATTATTTTTATTCATATTAGTATTAATTTAAGTTTTATTTTTCTTTTAAAACTTGAGTTTTTCAATACTTAATGAGTCAATTCCAAGCTTAAACTTATTGTTAGCTAGTCAAACTTATATATCTTATAGCTTAGCTTAAATTCATAAAATTCAACTTAACTCATTTACAGTTCTGCATTAGTCGAGTGTCGGTCACACTAATCACATGCAATAAAAATAGTCTCTTCACCATTAAACAACACACCTTCCACATGTCATTCACTCTCTCTCAATCACAACTCTAACCAACTCCCCTCTCTCTCTACCCCCATCCACAATAAACAAAAACTCCAACTAAAAACTAGGACTTCCTTACCTTGTACAACACAAAGTAAAAAAGGTGCCGCAACATGCACTATATATAAATGTACCCATGCAAAGCATAACATACTACAACACCCCTTACTGTTCTTCACTCACTCTCTCTCTCTCTCTCGCCCCTCCTTCTCCTCCTCCTCCTCCTCTTTTTTTTTTTGTTGATCGGCAAAAAAGAAACTTTGTTGATGGAAAAACATAACGAGTATGATAACATACATCAATAGAGAAGTGGGTGCAAAAAGCATCATAGTGAAACATTTAGATCCCAACTAGGTTGGCACCTAGATGCACACCAAATCATCTGCTAGCACACACTTGAAGCTTTAAGTTGGTAAGAAACCAACATGCAGAGCGGAACAAAGCAAAACAAAAACAATAAAGCAACAAAACACTCCTCTGCTGGAGCAGAAGACAGAACACCAAGACTACTTCAATACCCTTAGACAGAACACCATGACTACTTCAACACAGTAGACCAGCCTAAGCACCAATGCTTCAGCAGTAACTCAATCATTTGGCTTCTTCAGAACCAATACCAGAATCAACTTTACCAAACCTGAACTAGCTCAGGTTTGGTAGCCTTCAGCAGCCTAAGAACTACTCCACACCAGCATACACCAGTTCAATAACAGAACAACAACACAGCATACACTAGTAGAAATACACCCAACAGACAAGCATCCACCAATTCAGACAGTCACCCACACACCCTCAGAGTACAACAGCAGCCAGAAATCAACCAGCCCACCCACAGCCATCTCAGCAACACTAGACCAGAGATCATAACTAAGCAGCCTAAGCATAGCAGCCCAGCAAGCATCCCAGACCAAAGATAACAATCCAGAGAGTTCCAGACCCAGACAGATACAACCACACCCAAGTATGCTTCATCGGAGCTTAAAACTAGACTGATTCATCCACCATTCCTACAAGCATCTGATGAGCCAATGATAATCCTAAGTCTATGAGTCCATAGCAGATTCAACCACACCACAACCCATAGCACAAGACAGAGACAACCACAAAAGTCCATAGCACAAAGCAGATAAGCCTGTGGGTTCATTCAGCCACAAACAGCAGCCTATACTATTAGTCCACCAGCAATCTACCATCAGACAGCATACACCACTGCAGCAGCTCCAAAACCAAAACCAAATCATAATGCATACTTGAACCCTTTGTCATCAGCCTAGAATCACACATACTAGAACCTTAACCAAAACCAAAACATAATGCATACTTGAATCTTTTTTTTTTTTGAACAACAAAGAGAAGCTATATTGATGAATTTAGTAGAGGCATTGCAGAAATACACCAGTAGAGCAAAAAGAAAAACCAAGATTGGCGAGAAACCAATCACACAGCTAACAAAAGAGCAAACAAAGAGAAGAAGGAAGATGAAACAATAGTAGCACCAACTGGAACAGAGCACCACACAGGAACAAAGCACCAATTGGATCAAACTGCAGTCTTCACGAACCAACCCTCACCCTGAGATGTGAGTAGCACAGAATTGACAGTTAAGACTGTAACAGACCACGTCTCACCCCTGAAATGTTGTAGAGAAAATCTGAAATAAAAAAATAGAGCTCCTTAGAAGCAGCCTTAAGCTAGAAAGCCAGCCGAATGAGAATCAGTTCTTGCAGGTCTTGTAAATTAGGGGGAGATGCATTGAAGCAACAATCATTTCTGTGTTTCCAGATCAACTAGAGTGTTACCAGGGGTATTGCACGCCAAATCCACTGTTCAACTTTCCTACAGAAGTACCTTGACCACCAGAGCAGCAGACCATGGACAAAATCAGGAACAGCCCAAGAAACACCCCACCACTGTAGCAGACTAGACCAGACTTTCCAAACAGATGGACAGAGGATAAGAACATGCTCGACAGATTCCTGATGAGATTTACAAAAAACGCAGAGTGTAGAAGCAGAACTATCCAAAACTCCAATCCGCTGCAGGAATATAAAGGTTTTGATCTTGTGCTTCCAAGCGAGCCAACCGAAGAATTGCACCTCAGGAGGAAGATACTTAATCCACGCCAGACGACAGAAACAACTAGTACCTCTATAGACACTACAGGTGTGATTGTAAAGGTTGGACACAAAAGATTGCCCAGGCTTGGCTGCTCTTCATATTGCACTGTCCTGGGACTCCAACTGAAAGAAGGGCACTGAACCTACAATGCCATAAAGTTTGAGCAGTTCATTCTTTTCCCAAACAAATAGAGGTCTCCTAAATGTGAATAACCAGTTCTTAGTTGTGCCAGATACTTCCACAAATTCCTTTAGCAGACTTTCCTTTTGTGAAGATAAACTGAAGAGCCTAGGGAACTCCTCTTTCAGGCAAACATTTCCACACTAGGAGTCAAACCAGAACCTTATATGACAGCCATTTCCCACCTTTAATTGGAGGTTGCTAGCAAAGTATAGTGATAGAGACTGATTTTGCTTACCTGCTGCCACTATGCCATTCCAAATATAAGAGGATGATGTGTTTAAACTTGGGTTTGGAACCCATTTTCCACCAAGGAACCGATATTTGCTGCATAATACCCTATACCAAAGGGACTCTGGTTCAGTAGCAAATCTCCACCACCATTTTAGGAGTAGACACAGATTCACGTCTCTGATTCTTCTAACACCCAGACCACCTTGCTTTATGCTCTTAGTAACCTCTGACCATTTCACTAAATGAATTTTACGCTTCAGATCTGGCCCACCCCATAAGAATGAGGCTTGAATTTTGTCTAGCTCCTTGGTAATCCCCTCAGGAAGCTTAAATAATGATAAGTAGTATACAAGTATACTTGATAACACTGCTTTCACCAAGGTTAATCTACCTGCAAAAGATAGTAGCTTCATTTTCCACCCAGCTAGCCTTAGTTTTACCTTATCAACTACAGGTTTCCAAGTTTTCTTTCTTTTAGGGTTTGCACCCAAGGGAAGACCTAAATACTTGATTGGTAAATTTTGGGTCTTGCAGTTCAAGAGGGCAGCAAACTCTGGAAGGGCAGATCCGGAGATGCCAATCCCACAAAGCACACTTTTGTGGTAGTTGATTTTAAGCCCAGAAGCCACTTCAAAGCATCTAAGAATTCTTTTCAAATTTAGCACCTCTGATAACTCAGCGTCACAGAAACAGAGGAAATCATCTGCAAATTGAAGGTGAACAAATGCACCTCATCATTGGCCCCAATAGATACACCTTTAATCAATATTAGGTCCATAGCTCTCTAAAGGAGAATATTTAATGCCTTAACAACCAAATTGAATAAGAATGGTGATAAGGGGTCACCTTGCCTAAGCCCTTTTTGGGGATTAAATTCTTTTGTTGGAGATCCATTGACAAGGATAGAAATTCTAGCAGTAGAGACACACTCCTGTATCCAAGGGATCCACTTTTCGCCCAAACCAAAATTTGTTAACATTGAAAAGGGGAAATTCTAGTTGATGAAGTCGAAAGCCTTCTCGAAATTTATTTTAAAGAGCAATCCGGCTTTCTTGGATTCGACCCAGCTCTCCACAACTTCATGTGCAATCAGGACTCCATCCAAGATGTTTCTACCTCCCAGAAAGGCAGATTGTGAATCACCAATTATCGAAGGCATAACTAACTTCAATCTATTTGTTAGGACTTTAGATAGAATTTTGTAGATGGACCAAATTAGACTAATAGGTCTGAATTCATTTAGTGATAGAGCTTTCTCCTTCTTAGGGACAAGAGTAATGAATGAGCTATTCAAACCTGGGATTAAGCTGCCACTGGCATGAAACTCTTGCATAAATTTGAGGACTTCACCTTTAAGCACCTTCCAAAATTTCTGAAAAAATAACAAATTAAAGCCATCTAGTCCTGGGGCTTTGTTCCCATTACAATCATTTACTGCTGCCCAAATTTTTTTTTCAGCAAAGTCTGCTTCAAGAACATGAAAGTGGGTACTAAGCCTGATACTTTTGAATTCACCTTTCAGAGTTGGCTTCATTTTCCAATCATCTTTGAACAGGTTTGCAAAGTGAAACCAAACCTCATTCTGATAGAAGCTGGGTCCTCAAGATTCATACCCTTAACTGTGATGGACTTAATAGTGTTCCTGGTTGTTTACTAGTGGCCATGACATGGAAAAACCTGGTGTTCCTATCCCCTTTCAGATTCCAATTCAATCTAGATTTTTGGAGCCATTCCCATTCCATCTTCCTGCTTAGTGACCATATTTCATTCCTTTTCTCTCTTTGCAGCATCAATTCATCTACATCCAAAGGTCTAGTTTCAGCTTTTAGATCAAGATCATGCAGTGCAGTTTCAGAGGCTTCTAATTTTTTTGTAACATTTCCATAAGTCTCTTGATTCCATTTTTTTAGGGCTAACTTTAGGGACTGCAATTTCCTATTCATGATGGATCCTGCAGATCCATACAGTTGAAGATCACCCCAATTGCTCTCTACCAAGGAAGCCAGTGTTGGATGTAAGGTCCATGCATTCAAAAATTTGAAAGGTTACTAATCAACCACCAAGAATCAAGCACTTATGCAAAGTTTACAACAAGGGTTTTTCTTGTGGTGGAGCTCTAGGTGGGCACATGAGAGCCCATGGGATTGAAGATCTCAATAATGCTTGCAACAATGGAGGACTTTCCATGAGCGAGTTCCAAAACAAGGTCGAAAGCAGCAACAACTACACCAAGCGCACCTACTTTCTCCGAACCACCACCACAAACCGGTTCATGACCTACCGTGCAAGCGAAAAATGTGGTAAAAGAAGTTTCCTAACATTGAACTCTCTCATTGAACATGGCAAATATTCGATAGATAGGACTGTCTCTCCCATGCCATTGTTGTCACCAACTAGGGTTGGATTGTTCAGGCCTTCCACGATAATGGGAAAGTATGATAAAATTTTCGATTCAATGGATGAAGAAGAAGACCTAGCGAAGTGTTTGGTGATGTTATCGAATAGAAAAAATGAGAATGAAGAGGAAGACAAGGGTAAAGAAGTGGTGGTGAAAGGTATGTTTCAATGCAAGGCTTGTAAAAAGGTTTCTAAATCACACCAAGCATTGAAAGGGCATAGAGCTAGTCACAAAAAGGTCAAAGGTTGTTTTGCTTCAAGATTCGACAATACAGACGATAATAATGAAGATATTGATGTCGAGAAAGATGTCCTCGTTCAAGCCAATCTCTCCCTATTGATTCATAATCTCAATCAAACATCATTGGAGACTTCAAGGAAGTCCAAAATGCATGAATGCTCTGTTAGTGTTTTATAATGTTAGTGTCATATATAGCTATCGTACATTAGCATATATTATATACATGTAAAGTAAAATGTTTATTGTAATGTTTATTGTTTCTGCTTTCGATGCATTTGGCATCCTATGTACAACACTCTCCTCTCTATAAAAGAGAGTGAGCTTCTCCTTGTGTAATACAGATTCAATATCTATCAATACATAATTTATTCTCTCTTTTTCTCTATATATTAATTCTAACATAGTATTAGAGCTAGGTTAAGAACCTAATAATTTTGCTTCACCGGCGGGCGGCAACCTCGCCTTGGCCACCCGCCGGACAAATCCATATCAATAAACACAGCATCCGAATCAACCCAAAAGATCCACTCTGCCTCTGATTGGGCCACCATCGTCCCCCGAACAACCGGTATCTTTTATACCAGTATTCATCTGGTACAAGAAGTGATTTTGAAGAACTGGAAGCATTCCCAACTATGGCAGTAATGGTCAGTCCTCTAGAGCCATCATCATCAACTACTACTACAATCATCATTGGCACCACTAAAGCATCCAGGCTTAGATACCTTTGCTACCTTTGCTACACCTCCCTCGAAAACAAAGCTGCTATTGGGCTTGCCGCTGCTGAACAGACCCATATCAGTAAACACAGCATCCAGGCCTAGATACCTTTGCTACCTTTGCTACACCTCCCTCCAGCCGCCGCCACCATCGGCAAAGAGCTGGAGCATCTACACCCACTACGAGATCACCTCCAAGTACAAGATCCTCTATCGAGTCGGCTCCGGCGCCTACTCCGATGTCTACAGAGCTCGCTAACTCTCCGACTCCTCATCGTCACCTTCAAAGAGGTCCACGACTACTAGTCCACTTTTCGCAAACGCGCCACCCACAAACACATTGGCTCCGGCCATCACTAAGAGAAGGGAGGAGAGTTTTCCCATCTGCCATTATTCGCGACTACCGCGGTCTGAGACTGACCACCATTGGCAGACGCTGCATACACGGCGGCGAAGCGCCACTCCATTGGACAAAGTGCCTTTACAATAGACAACAACCCATGCCTTCTCTCTCTCTAACAATAATTTTCCATCACCCAACTTTCTTTTTATTTTATTTTATTTTATCACACATACTTAAAACAGAACCAAAACAAAAATAACACAAAAACCAGTCCACTTGTCAACCCATCATCCACATCTTTATTTTGACAAAACCCAACTTTATTTATTTTATTTTATCTTCTTTTTTTCATTAAAAAAAAAAACTCAGAACCCATTATCCCTTTTTTCTCCCGAGATTTCATTATTTTAACACTCAGTTGGTGAGCCCTTCCAGATTCGTGTTCCCACTACCTTTATTTTATTTTATTTTATTTTTTCTATCTTTCTTTTTCCATCAATCTTTCATTATTACACAACTCAATTGGTGAGTATCATCCATTTTCCATTATCTTATTTTTTTTTTTCTTCTGCCAAAAAAAAAAAAAAATCCACTCTGTGTTGAGCCGTTCCGCTCCACTTTATCAATCCCTTTGTTTCAACCTCCAATAGGTTTATATTTTCAAACCTATTTGAGTTTGAGAGGGGATATTATACATATATCATGGTGAGTATGGTTATACAACATGCAAACCACCCAAGCTGGTGAGCATGGTTATACACTATGGGAACCACCCAAGCCATCCCATGGTGCAGTCCCTAAGTCACCCCCTTGGTGCTCCACCAAAGTCTGCTACATCGGTCCAGCATAACCCCGTAAACTGTCCCGACATTGATTTCAGTTCGCTTCTCCAACGGTCTGACACGACCACATAGTGTCTGCTACATTGGTCCGGTATGACCTCGTAAACTGTCCCGACATTGATTCCGATTAGCTTCTCCAACAGTCTGACACTACCACACAGTGTCTGCTACATCGGTCCGGCATGACCCCGTAAACTGTCCCGACATTGATTCCGGTTAGCTCCTACAACGGTCTGACACGACCAGACAGTGTCTCCTATCCTATTTTTATTTTATTTTCACGTTTTGTTACTCTCTCCAAACTTAAGTTGGTTGTGTCTCTCTTCCTTGAGTTTGAGGGGGGCTGTTAGTGTATTATAATGTTAGTGTCATATATAGCTGTCATACATTAGCATACATTATATACATGTAAAGTAAAATGTTTATTGTAATGTTTATTGCTTTTGCTTTCGGTGCATTTGGCATCCTATGTACAACACTCTCCTCTCTATAAAAGAGAGTGAGCTTCTCCTTGTGTAATACAGATTCAATATCTATCAATACATAATTTATTCTCTCTTTTTCTCTATATATTAATTCTAACATGCTCAATTTGTCACTGGGTGTTCTCATCAGGGCAAGCCTTTGGTGGCCATAAAAGGTGTCATTGGCTTACCTCTAACATGCCAGATAATACATACTCAACAATAATACCAAAGTTTCATGAGTTCCAATATGATAATCATCAACTATTCAAAAAACCCATGTTCGAAAAGTCTCAACCGCTCGATCTCAACCTCCCCGCGAGTCTTGATGGTAATGATGAAGCTCGAATCAACCACGATAAACCATCAAATTTTGGAGCCGTAATGAGGATCTATCTACCTCCACGGGGAAAAGAAGACATGGATGTGAATCACAAGAAAAGTGAGGGTAATAGTGAAGAACACTGTGAGGTGAAGATATCAAAACTGAGTGATCTGAGGGATATGAGCTTGGATGGAGAGTATTTGACATGGTTGCAAGTGGGAATTATTCCAACTACTGATGGAGGAATTGGATCGAGCAACAACCAATTCGGTTTTTCTTTTCTTTAATCTAGATCAATAATCGGTATATTGGCTTCGCTCACATTAAGGGAAGTACTCTTTTATCAAGATGGTGTAATTACATATTCATTAATTAAACTCAAATTTACTATGCCTTTTTCTTTTCCTTTTTTTTAATGTAAAAGCTTTTTACATTTATATAGTACTAGTTATAAGCTTTTACTTTCCATTCCTTTTTTTTAATCAATAAAAAAAAAATAATTTATTGATGAACCGCGAAGGATCAAAATACAAGACTGTGGTACAAGGTGGTTGAATGTTTGTAGTTGGTTTCATGTTTGAAATAAATTTTATAAGAAAAAAATTTAAAGATAATTATATCATCATTGGACAAAATAATGGTTTAGATTGATTTTCTAAAAATTGAGTTATTTATTTATTTTATTTGTTTTTATTGAATTTTTTAAAATTATGTATGCAATTTTTTTTTTTAAAACTTTTTAGACACATAATCTAAACATACTTAAAAATATTTATAAAAACAAATTTAAAAACTTTACTAAATACAAAAAAATATATACAAAAATTTAATACGCTTTCTTATTCTTATGTATTTATTAATTTTTTTTATAAAAAATATTACAAATGCATTTAGTTTTGGTGCATTTAAAAAGCAAAAAAATCACTTAAAATATTAAAAAAATACTAAAAATATATAATAAAAAAAAGAAAAACAAATCAATTTTCCCAAAATCAATCAAAACTGAACAAGCTGTTGTATAAGTATAACCTTCATTTAAAATATATTGAAGAAATTTTTCTTGCAAAAAATTAGAGAGAACTTTTGCAATATTTTTTTACATGCTAATTTTTTTTGTTTGTTTGTTTGTTGGGATCAATTTAAGTTATCGACATGAAAAAGTATTGAAGATTAATAAGAATATGAAATCATCTTCTTTTTTTTTCCCCACTGATACAACTATTACAGATATTTATACACTAATCAGTTACAAGAAATCTAACAAACTAATTAACTATGTAACTGATTGAATCTAACTTGAGTTACTAGAACTAGGTGTGGTTATTGGAACTAGATGTGGTGTAGAAGTATGATTATCAGGCTTATCAATCCCTCTCAAGTTGACGAGGCATGGAAACACTATCAACTTGCCTTTAAGATAGTGAAATCGAGCTGAAGAAAGGGGCTTAGTAAATACATCTACTACTTGATCAACTGTAGGAACATAGGAGACACAACACACTCACAAATGAAATAACAATCAATTTCGATGTGCTTGGTGCGAGAGTGGAAAACAGGACTGGAAACAAGAGCCATAGTTGAAACATTATCACACCAAAGAACTGGAATAGCAAAATAAGGAATAAAGAGATCTTTGAGCAACTGCTGAATCCAATACAGTTCAGCAGCAGTATGAGCCATGGACCTGTATTTTGACTCAGTGGAAGATCGAAAGACAGTGGCCTGGTTCTTAGCAGACCAAGAGATGAGATTAGGCCCAAGATAAACACAAAAACCTAAGGTAGACCTCCTATCCACACGGTCCCTAGCTCAGTTGGGGTCAGAATAGGCATGGAGAACAAAGGGACCTGACCTAAATTGAAGCCCATGAGTAAGGGTGCCTTTAACATAGCAGAGAAGCCTTTTAAGGAAAGAAAAGTGACCAACTGTAGGGGCATGCATATGTTGACAAGCCTGGTTGACAGCCAAGGTAATGTCAAGCCTGGTGATGGTTAAATATTGAAGAGCACCAACTAGGCTTCTGTAGAGAGAAGGCTGAGAATAAGGTTGGTCATCTATAATAGAAATGGTAGGTTTGAGAGCCATAGGAGTAGAACATGGCTTGCAGCCTACCATGCCAGCTTTGAGCAAAAGATTAGAAGTATACTTCTATTGAGATAAAAAATAACCGCGAGAAGAAGAATGAACTGAGATACCCAAGAAATAAGAGTTTTCTCCTAATTTTTTCATAGAGAATACTTGATGCATTTGATGAATAAGGTCATGAAGAACAACAGAATCACTCTCAGTAAGCAAGATATCATCCACATAAATGAGGAGGATAGTAATGGAGGTGGATATGTTTCTGACAAACAAAGAAGAATCAACATGAACAACTATTATAGATATTTATACACTAATTAGTTACAACAAATCTAACAAACTAATTAGCTATGTAACTGATTGAATCTAACTTGAGTTACTAGAACTAGGTGTGATTATTGGAACTAGATGTGGTGTAGAAGTATGCTTATCAGGCTTATCAGTCCCCCTCAAGTTGACGAGGCATGGAAGCACTAACAACTTGCCTTTAAGATAGTGAAATCGAGCTGAAGAAAGGGGCTTAGTAAATACATCTATTACTTGATCAACTGTAGGAACATAGGAGACACAACACACTCACAAATGAAATGACAATCAATTTCGATGTGCTTGGAGCGAGAGTGGAAAACAGGATTGGAAGCAAGAGCCATAGTTGAAACATTATCACACCAAAGAACTGGAATAGCAAAATAAGGAATAAAGAGATCTTTGAGCAACTGCTGAATCCAACACAGTTCAGCAGCAGTATGAGCCATGGACTTGTATTTTGCCTCAGTGGAAGATCGAAAGACAGTGGCCTGGTTCTTAGCAGACCAAGAGATGAGATTAGGCCCAAGATAAACACAAAAACCTACGGTAGACCTCCTATATATCCACACGGTCCCTAGCTCAGTTGGGGTCAGAATAGGCATGGAGAACAAAGGGACCTGACCTAAATTGAAGCCCATGAGTAAGGGTGCCTTTAACATAGCGGAGAAGCCTTTTAAGGAAAGAAAAGTGACCAACTGTAGGGGCATGCATATGTTGACAAGCCTGGTTGACAACCAAGGTAATGTCAAGCCTGGTGATGGTTAAATATTGAAGAGCACCAACTAGGCTTCTGTAGAGAGAAGGCTGAGAATAAGGTTGGTCATCTATAATAGAAATGGTAGGTTTGAGAGCCATAGGAGTAGAACATGGCTTGCAGCCTACCATGCCAGCTTTGAGCAAAAGATTAGAAGTATACTTCTATTGAGATAAAAAATAACCGCGAGAAGAAGAATGAACTGAGATACCCAAGAAATAAGAGTTTTTTCCTAATTTTTTCATAGAGAATGCTTGATGCATTTGATGAACAAGGTCATGAAGAACAAGAGAATCACTCTCAGTAAGCAAGATATCGTCCACATAAATGAGGAGGATAGTAATGGAGGTGGATATGTTTCTGACAAACAAAGAAGAATCAACATGACTGAGAACAAACCCTTGAGAGAGCAAGAAGGAAAAAAAGGTAGAATACCAAGCTCGGGGAGCTTCTTTCAAACCATAAAAGGGCTTTCTTCAATTTGCACACATGTGTGGGATGAGTAGAATCATTGAACCCTTGAGGTTGATCCATATAAACTTCTTCTTCCAAGTGCCCATGGAGGAATGCATTAGAGATATCCAATTGTTTAAGAGGCCAGTTATTCTGAAGAGCCAAACAAAGCAAAATTTGAATTGTAGGTTGTTTAGCTACTGGACTAAAAGTCTCTTGGTAATCGATGCCCTCTTGTTGAAGATAACCCTTAGCCACCAACCTGGCCTTGTGACGAGCAATGGAGCCATCAAAGTTTTTCTTAATGCAAAAAACCCATTTGCAACCAATGGAGGATTTAGAAGAAGGTAAAGCAACCAAATCTCAAGTACACTGTGTGTGCAGAGCCTGAAATTCTTCGTTCATGGCTTGAACCTAAATGGGAGACTTTAAAGCCTGTGTAGCAGTCAATGGCTCAGTAAGAGACAGATCAGTAAGAGGTAGTTGCGAAGCAGTCTGAGAGAAGTGAGCTACCTTAGATCGAGTAACCATAGGATGAAAATTCTGAAGGGAAGAATTAGGAATAGAAGGAGGAGCTAAAGGCAAATCAATAAAAATGGAGTGAATAGGTATGGAAACTGTAGAAAGAGGAAAAGCAGGCTCCAGAGTAGAAGAGGTAGATAGATGAGAAGAAGAAAGAGGACCAGAAATAGGGTAAGAGGAAGGTATATGAGGCAAAATAAGACCAGGGGACATGGGCTTAGAAGAAGCAGAATCTGTCCAAAAGAAAGAAGACATATCAGATAAAGAAGAAAGTGGTGATTTGGAAAAATGAGCAAAAGGAAGGCAAGACTCAATGAACAAAACATGCCTGAACAAATGAATTTTTCCTGTCAATGGACCCAAGCATCTATAGCCTTTAGTAGTAGGATGGTAACCGATAAACACACAAGGAGTGGATCGAGGTTAGAGTTTGTGAGAGACATAGGGGCGAAGCTAGGGAAAACATTAATAACCAAACACCTTAAGGAAAGAACAATATGGCACAGTTTGAAACAAAAGCTCAAAAGGAGATTTATGTCCAAGAGATAGACTAGGCAGTCTATTAATAAGAAAGACAGCAGTAGCAATAGCCTCAAACCAAAAAGAAATTGGCGTGGAAGACTGAGATAGCAAGGCAATGGCAGTCTCAGTAATATGTTGATGTTTTCTCTTAGCTATGCCATTTTGCTCAAGAGTGTAAGGACAACTAAGTTGATGAATGACACCATGTTGAGTCAAATAAGCATCCATTTGTTTGTTAACAAACTCAGTACCATTATCAATCCTTAAGATTTGAAGATAAGTAGCAAATTGATTTTCAACATAAGCTTTAAAAGAAAGAAATGTGGAGAAAACTTCACTTTTGACATGCAAAGGGTAAATTCAAGTAAATCTAGTAAAGTCATCCACAAACAAGAGATAGTACTTAAAACCAGAAGTAGAAGCATGAAAATGGCCCATACATCACTATGAACAAGAGCAAATGGCCTATTAATTGTAGTAGTAGAAAGTTTAAATGGTAGTCTATGGATCTTAGCAACATTACAAGGAGTGCATGAAAATTCAACATTATTATTTTTGGAAGCAACAGGTAAATGTTTGACAATATGTTGCATTTTCAAGGAAGAAGGATGGCCAAGTCTTTGATGCCAAGTGGGCCCAGAGACTTAAGATGGAGAGTGAGCAATACAGGCTTGAGAATTAGGAGATGAAGAAGAGGATGCAAACTGGTAAAGACCATGATGATTAGAGCCTTTATGCAGAACCT